TCAAAATACAACGCTGTGGAGTAATGCAGCGGTCAGATAATATCCGGGACAGCCAAACAACTCTTATTTGTAGAAAATCTAATTAACACGTGGATAATTTAGATAGGGCCCTGCAAATATGAAATCTAACATTCTAGAAATGCTTTATAAACACAAATTGCTAATAATGTTAATTAGCATAAATAGATAGTCGTACACACTTTGAAACCAGATTCGCCATGAATACTGTGTAGTACTCTAATTAAACTAGGGACTGAGAGCTCGCCTCCACTGTATGTACCAGCGATCTCGGCTACATAAGCGAGTACCAAACAAAATTATTTGAGGCTGCATAATGAGGCAGAAAGTACTCTACAAATTTTAACAGAAATACAAACTGTCATTTAGTAATTCAGAACTTCAGTAGTCTTTTTTTCAGTAAGAAAAAAATTGCACCAATTGAAATAAGAATGAACGTCAGTCATTAAAAAAAACTGATCAAGTTGGATGTAACAAAATAAAATCGACTTTTACTGACAATATCGATTTCAGCTTGCTGCCCTATGACCTTTGGATTGATTTGGTCTAACCTGGTGAGAACGTCATAGAAGAGGTCAGACTGTGAATTTTGTTTGTTATCCAAAAAGGGAAGCACCAAAAGAAAAGCATGCCAGGACTAAAAAAAAAAGGCCAATGCTTTAATCAGTGGAAACGACCTGAGTCGAATCATAGCCAAATTTGAGGATTTTCTTTGAAGGTCTGGCCTGACAGAATTCCAAATTGTAAACTCCATGCAGGGTTTCATTAGCATGTTATAATTTAAGATATTGAGATTACCAACCTCCATTTTTAACAGTTCAATTGGAACAGTTGAAAACTACTGTATATTAATCAGTTTGATTGACGTCCATATATCATCAGTGCAACTAAATAGCTGCATGAAAATTATGGTCACACTGGCAAAGGGTGAACCTACAACAGAGAAACTGAACTTCGGATGAACTTTTTGCATTAAATGGCCTTTTGCAATAAAGCTGAAACCCGCAGAAGACACAGTATGTTTAATGCAAAGAGAATTCACAAGACAATGGCTGGAGGAGAAAGCTGATTTGTGCTTCCTCATGCGATTGACAATTTGATTTTAAAATAAACTAACGTAATCATAAAAGTCCACTGTTAAATGCACAATCTTTCTTTGATTAGAATGACGGTTCTTCCAGAGAAATAAAAGCAACGGAAGAGGTAAAACTTGCCCATAACGTTGTTAAATCTTGGGTTGAAAAAGCAGAGGCAACCCAAAGAGAGCGCCATCAAGCGAGAGATGGTTGCTATTTCTCATGGGAACAATTTAGCCTATGCTGGTTAGAGAGACACCACAGGGCGTTTTAACGCTGTTACAATCAGAGATATGTACATTTTCGACAGTTATTTTATAGTCAACATGTCCGAACTAGTTTAGTCACATTTTCTATAAGATGATTTTTTTTGTATTTTCATAATGGAATATACTATTATAAAATTTACCTGTTGATACTTCCATTTCTTTAAACATTAAGGTCCAATTGCCTAAGCATTTCAGATATGACAATTACATGATTTGCTCCCTCTACAACTAGCACAACTGCATTCATGGTTTTAACTGATTTAATATATATACCCTTGCTTGTTCCACGGAAGAAGAATACTGCCGTACATATCACAGACCTAAACGACCGATATTTACACCTGCGGAGTGATGATGGACCTAAGTACATTGCAATTAACTGAATTGTAAATCTTTTCCTTATGTTTTAAAAAAACACAAGGATCATCTGTCTTTAATAAATTCTAACAACACGCTCTGCTGCACACGATGTGGCAGCGCACCGACCTGTTTTTTTTTAAAACACAATTTGCGCAAAGCAGTTTTTGCAAGAAAAGTACCAGAGGGCGGTGGATTAACAGGAAACAAAGTATGAGTTTTCGTACATTCCAAACTTGCTTATGATGGAAACGGGTGTGCGAACATTTGATGTGACATTTCCCAAAAAAATCTTTGAAAATGACCACGACATAACAACATTAACTGCCTTTGATAACAGCTGAATCACTCGTAACTGCATCTTTCTAAACACATTTAACACTACCATGAAAGAGAAAAGCTGCTAGTACAAATAGTTCCGTAGGTTATAGTTAGACTTTATAACCTTTAAAAAATGGCACTTGTATGTTCGGCACGTGAGCTAATTTGTTCTGGGTATCAGCAGTTAATGGTCACTGAAGGTACGTAAACGTTACCTTCGCCTGTTTACGTGAAGCGCCTGAACTCTTACATGCCGTGTCAACTTTCAGATCTGCTTCTCGAGATTAATTTGCACTATTCTTGGTCATTTACTTTAATATTTTCAACAAGCACGTGAAATGTTGCCTTATTTATGATCTCCGTTTCATATCGTTCTGAGCTGCATTGCATGTTAAAAGTATATTGCACTTCAATTTGCGGTAACTGACAAACAGCACATCAGTTAGCAACGGACAACCACATGATGCACTGTATTCGTGTTTAGTGCGAGATTCGCAACAGGTCTTGAACGTCAGTACCTATCATTCCAACAAAAGCAGGAATGTTCTAACTTAAGTGATTAGATAATACTTTACTATTACTGTTGGTCTCATTATTTAGTGTTTTTAAAATGTGATTTCATATCTGATTATCAAGTTTTGGTCGTATTAGTAAAGAATATGCATTAAGGCTTTCTATTAACATGTAAAATGGTCTGAAATAAAGCAGTGACTATCAGATTGATATATAAATCAGTTACCTAAACAGTTAACCTTGGTGTACACCCCAGCATTACCTCCACCGTTAAAAAACTCCAATTTTAATGATGAATTTCTTGCTACAAGTTTTGTTTTATAAATTTTACTTATCATGCCAATTTACTTATCAAGCATTCTGTTTCAAAGTAAACATATTAATTAAACTCAATATTATGAACACTAAGAAGTGCACAACCTAAAGCTTCCATTTCTTATTGTAGTGGTGTTCTGAAAAGGAATGTGACTTTCATGTTAAAGATGTGAATTCATCTATGCATGCAAAGAAAATAAATCATACAATAATAATATATGTTGCTTAAAAACACAAGAACTTGTGGATAATTCGATCTTAAATACATTTTTATTTTTAAAAAAATGTACTGGTTCAATTTTATCTTCATGGATCATGGATTGCAGTGAGTGTATTATTTTTCTATGACGGTGCAATTATTCTGCCTCAGTTTCATAACTAAAAATATCTTCTCTCTTAAGTTATTTGGTTGGTTGGTTTTGCTGTTGCCCATCAATTAATAGGGAAAGCACCCCAACCAGTATTTCAGTAATCCAATGCTGTAACTGAATTTATCCCTGGGACATGAGAAAGTATAAAAATAACTTACCCACAAGTCAACATTTTTGTTTAGAAAAGATAGATAGGTAGATAGATAGATAGGTAGATACGTTAATTTGGTTATATCATCTGACAAATAAGATAACAAAGCAGCCTTAAACATATCCATTTGAAACTAGAGTTCCAAGTTTACCAAGTTCATGTATTTCTTAAATAAACTTTATTTTATTACAGTTTATATGCAACAAATGTTAACTATGAGCAGCACAAATCATAGCATTTTTATCAACTAAGCTTTTGTCTCAATATTGAACAATGCCTATAGTGGAATATATGCATGTTAAAATCACTGGGACTTAACCAGCAAGGTTTTAAATTGTTCACTATGTAAACATTTTGTAAAGCATCTAAATATGACAGTTCAATTGAGATTGATAAAGATTTCATAATGGTGAGACATTTACCGGGGCTTAATTCTTTTAAAGTTGTAAAAAGAAGCCAGGAGGTGCTGGTTGATTCAATTATAAAATATGCATTCTGTTTGTGCAAAAGAATTATACTGCAAATTTGAGCTACATGAAGGATCATCCATTGATGCCTTCAGCACACATTTTTTAAACTAGTATTTCTTGTGCCTTTGGGGGATATTGATTAGGTATCTCATAGTTAGAGCATGGTTACTAAGCCCCTTCTTTTTGATGGGTCAGATGTGGATATGTAGCCAGCTTGTTTATAATCAATGCCAACAAAGGTATACATCAGAATCATGATTAGCTGGTATCTGGAGAGGAAAAATAAATATCTGAGCTCAAAGGTGGCTGCTGTTTAAAGAAAGGGCAATACAGATATTATATAGAGCTGGTGTGTGCTTTGTGTGTGGCGGTTGGGGGGATGTTTGGAGGAGGTTGTGGAGTACATCAGTTATTTGTATTTACAGACATGCACTAGTCATGAGGAGATTGGTCTTTCACTATTTGCAATGTATAATTGCTGAAGGATTTGAGAAAAGCTACACAAAACTATTGCAGGCTGCTCTAAAGTTCAGGAAAAAATCTTTAAAGAACTTAGTAAAGTAATATTGTCTGCAAACTATACACCATACAGTAGAATTGGAAGACATACAGACTTGCACTTCACAAAGTATTATGTGTACTCATTAAGTAAAATTAACAATTTAAAATTTGCCAGTTTAAAAAGCATATATTTATTTGTAGGAAATCTCCAGAAAACATTAGTAAGTGCTGTTATTCTCACTTATGCTAAAAATAAATCTACAAGTCTCCGATGAAGACAACGTGCATTGAATGCCTGAAATCTATATAACATCTGCTTAAAATTTTCTTAGGGCAAAAAGAAATCACCAATAATTGCTGTCAATTCTCAACGACGAAAAGTCTGCAAAGCCACGTGTACTTTGGGGTTGTAATAATGCACATAAGCACTAAAGCCCTAGCAAATTCACTAAGGTTTATTTAATTATATCATATCATAGTTTTTCTTCTCGGAAATATTATAATAACGAGTTACAATATTCCTGCTACTAACCTTCAACAACTATCTGAAAATTTCAGCTCAGACTGACTGGCACAACTATAAAACACAATATGATGATAAAATGTGATGAATGTACGTATATATATATATAAGTCACCTTGCAGTTTCATGTAGTGTGGCCTGTCAGCCTCGATCTGCACGAAGTGCATCACCAATAACGTTGCCGGCAGTTCTTAATGTACACGTTTATTCTTTGTACGGCGTTCCTGAAGCAAAACAAAAGACACAAAGAAAGCATTGATACAGTAGTTAGCTACCTAGAATAAGTTACCCACGGAAACTCCAATTAGTTTAATCTCCACAAGAAAAAATATTTTCGACTGACATCTCATTGCAAAGTCCAAATCATTATTTGGATAAAAATGTAATTAGAACTGTTGGTCTTAGATACATGGAAGTTGGTCATTATCTGAAGGCTACTTAGCTATTTTGCTAGAAACATGTTTCTAAATGAAAATTGACAAACGGATGACCACATACAACGCGCGGAGTTTTGTGAATAGTACAAACCGGCTGGCGCCAATGTCGGTCTATAGCCTAAAAATAATGCCGTCTGGAAGGACATAACTTTTGACGACCAACACAAAATCCGTCCTACGGCACTTCAAGAGTTGATCGATAAATGCAGTACCTGTCAAGAGAACAGCGCTGAGACCACAGGCTTTATTAACTTGCTTTGTTTTATGAATTTGAACAGGACACCAATTATAAAAGTTAGGAGTTAATTTAATGAACTTTGTCACAGAGTGTTATCTTTATATGCGAGGAGCACAGATGAAGGAAGCCATTATTAGCGTAATTTCAGGGCCATTTTAAAAATCTTAACATTTTGGAGGAATTATGTGGTCACAAGCGCAATGAGAGGAGTTATTTTGATAAGAGGAACGAATGGTGGAAAGCGCAACAACTTTATAAAAAAGACAACCAGATGAATGGTCTGAAGGCAGAAAGTGGAGTGGGATACAAAAAAATGATATTCAAACATGAAGGCCAAATCTGAGATGCACACAAACTACAGCCTACGATCACTGCACCTTTCTAACACAGGAAGGCACGATTTGAAAGTGCTGCTAGCAGCTACAGTCATTGCCTATACTTGCCAGAAGAACGTAAACTATGAGCATTTAAAACTATTGTTCTTTCCGATGATAAACTGAGGGAATATCCACAATAAATTACTACTGACAGTTGCCACAATATAGTATAAACATGTATTTTGATTATATCGTTTAGTTGCCTTGCACCACGATTTCCGATGCTTGAAGACTACATGGCGCACACACATTGATTAGATCTACCCATCTGGCCGATAGATCATCCGTTTCACACAAACTTTACAGTAGATACTGTAATACCTAAACTGAGCTGTGTTACGTGTGGACCCATTCATATTTTAATATTTAGATCATTATAACGCTATTCCATCACCCATGATTGATAAAAGATCAGATCTAGAGGTTGCTTTCTTGCGGTTGGTCATGTTCAGAATGAGATAGGTACTACAGCATAAAATTAGACGAGCATTTAATCACACTTTTGGTTAAATTGGAAATGGCTCGCGAATGTGGCTGAACGTTCAGGAAAGACTAACATGTAATCGGCACTGGCTGGACCTCACACATGCTAAGAGAATACAGTATTTACACGAAACTTGCCAATGTAAACGTGCCCGCCTCCTTCAGATAAACAGTAATCAACAAACCTCTATCATTTCGAGCTACAGCTCTGTCTGCTTATAGCTAATGAAGTGAGGTATCTGGTTGCAGAGGCACTACAGAACGGCTCGATGCTGGCGCAAATGCTTTCAAAGCCATTTTAATTTTCACATCAGTGCACTTACTAGGTTTTAAAGCTCTGACGGCTAACAAGTAGCTTGCGGTATTGGCGAATGTTTAACTAAGATGGCTAGCCATCAATTCCCTTTTGTTTGCTTGCAAATTAATCATCCTATACGTAGTTGGCGCCAGTGTAGATTTATCACACACAGGAGGGTGAATGAGTCGGGCGAGGAGAGACAAAGAGAGTTCGCACCTTCCTGCTTTTGATCCTAGATTAGTGCACCCTCCCTTCATAATACGAGTCTCTAGGGTGCTTAGCCTGGGAGGTCAGTCATAATTGGCGGAAGTTAATGCAATATTTCGAGACGTTACATTAAATCACATAATTCGAAATATTACAGCATGTGGTGATTATTTTTTATAGACAATATCAGAACACGATCCGATCATTTGCTTCTCTTTTGGCGAGAGAGAAAACAAACTACTTATACAGGGATGCTTAAAGCGATAGTTAGTATTTATAGCACACATCTGACCAGGATCTTGCTTTGTCTAGATTCCAAACAAAAATGTACACATATAGGTTCAAGGGAACTCGCCTTGGAGTGAATCTGACAGTTTCCAAATCTCCACACAGGTCAGAAAAGCGCCGTGCTGTTTTAACATCCCTAGATTTAAAGACAGGGATCAAGGACTCCCCACACGACAGAGAGAGATAGAGAGAGACCCGGGAATCAAATGGAACGTCGTCAGATCGCAAGCTCCAGCGGCGGAGACTGGTGGTGCTCAGAGCGACTTTTTCTCGTCAGGATATACTCACAGATCAGAGAGGCGATATTACGGTTAAAAAAAACCGAAAAGTGATACGAGACGCTAGTTACAGCTCGACGTCAGCAGCCTGGCGCCAAGCGCCCTTAAACATGTGCGTCAAAAATGCAATGTTACAAGAGCTAATCACTTTAGATGTTCCGCTCCTATCTCCGTGCATTTAGCCGATGTGATTGCTTCTCAGTTGCAACTTTTTTTTATCCCCCAGCGCTCTCAGAGAGGGAGAGAGAAGGGAGAAGGCACTGTTTTTTCCACTTGAAACTGCAGCAGCCCTTTAGGCGCCATGTCCTCATAATTAAATCACCTCGTTAAAATGAAGCTTTTTTTAACAAAAAAATGTTGTTGAAAGCATCGCCAAGAAACAAATAAAATTAAGACACTGGACATCTCAAGGCTTTGTCCTTTTCTTCTGCCACCCCTCCCCCCACAACAACCCAAATTAAAATGCAGAGATGGTTTATCCTCTGCAGGCCGGGGAAGGGGTGGGGTGTAGAGTGGAGGACGAGACAGGGGAAAGTCTCGAAACGCTGACCACCCCCACCCCCGCCCGAATCAACAATGAATGTACATGAATGCTCATCGCTGGCATTGGAAGGCGGCAGATCAGTGTGAAGGGAGGAGTGATGTGGCGGAGATTGCATATAACGGCGAGAATGAGACAGATTGGGCTGAGAGTCAGCTTGCCTCTGGACACACGCATGATCTTTCCTCCGTCTGGTTTCCTGGGAGTCGATGGTGGCTGAAGCCACCTGAGGCGGGCCCTGCGCGTTTCCATTGGCTGGTGTTCCCACCCCCACCCCGCCAACCACATTAGTAACTCCCACCCCCTCCCTCTCTAATGATGTTGACATATTCACACGGCTGAAGCAGTGATCCTCGCTGTACGTTACCGTTTCCGACACCTTCTTTTTATAACTCATCTATCCCCGGCTTTACTTGTCAAAACCACGCCTATGGAGCCACACAATTGGTCCGAAAGCGTCAAATAGCCAATCAACAGTGTTCAGCTATTCGCAATACGCACACATACACACACACATACAGAAAGATCGGACTTGACTGTTTGGGGAGATGCGTCTCTGCTGTGCCACCTCCAGCCAGTCTTACTTTCAGTTTATCTGAAAAGCGAAGAACACAATAATATTAATAATGATGCGCTTGTAAGCGGCAGTGCGACAGAGATCCGGGGAGTGGATGAATTTACCGATGAGAGAGCCAGTTATTCCGGGGACAAGCATGGCTTATCATCCGTTCTTACCTCACCGGGCACCGGACTTTGCGATGAGTGCTGTGCTGGGACAGCAGCCTCCTTTCTTCCCGGCTCTGGCCCTGCCTCCGACCGGCTCGGCCGCTCTCAGTCTCTCCGCCGGACTAGGCAAGCCCGTTATGGATCAGCTTGTAGGCGCAGGTGAGGCTGGAATCGCTCTGTCTGCAATGGGCCACCAGCCCTCGCATCTGAGGCCTCTTAAGACTCTGGAGCCCGAGGAAGAAGTGGAAGACGATCCGAAAGTTATACTCGAAGCGAAAGATTTGTGGGATCAGTTTCACAAGTGTGGCACTGAAATGGTTATCACCAAATCTGGAAGGTACAGTGAATTTTTCCCTGCAAGATGCAAATGCCTGCCTCACTGATTAGAAAACATTCGAGCCTTTTTGATATCCAGCCTTGATTAGCTTTGACAACACGATAAATATATATTTTAGCAGGTTGTAGGATCAAATAGGCAAAATAGATTTATTTGGAAATAGCGGCCAGATATATTCGCGTGTGATCTGTCAAAGGTGTTTTTTAAATAACATGACAATTTGCTGAAATAGTTTTTCTCCATAAATGCAGTCACTTGTTCAGTGAAATACCACACCGTCTTCAAACCATTTATTCTGTTCCTTGCTTTCTAAGATGAGACATCGCCAGACTAACAAGGGCACAAGCTCGGTCAAATATTTGGCTTTAATAAGTGCTAATGATATTAGTCGAAATAGCTTATTCCTTATGAGAGGGGAGGTCACATGGGATCGGTAGAGGGCCGGTTGATGAAACTGACTTTGTTGAAAGTTTTATTCATCCATTCATTTGATCCGAGTAACGACAGGAGAACACTCAGTCGCCTTGCATAGAAAATGTACCGACTGCAGAGTTTAAGGTTCCAAACCAGTACGTAAGATTCAAGGGTCGACTGTGCGTGTGTACCGGGGGTGGGGTCCTTGCAAATATTCGCGGGCTGAGGGGTAACGCACAGTAGATTATTTTCACGACACCTGCCATGGTAGTATTTTAATTCACGCAGATTTTTTTTTAATTGCACCCTATTGTTGTTTATAAATCGTAAACGTTGAGTTAGCCGCGGCCTTATCCAGGTAATCATTGCATATAATACCTTCGGCAAGGGTTGAATCATCCTTGTAAGAATTTTGAAACATTGAAGTATAAGCTAAAATATCTCCAGTTAGATGCTGCTGTGTCACTAGTTTAGGCCTGAATCATTTAAAAAGAGCAGGGCTTTTTTTAAAAAAATGCAAACATTAACCACTTCTAACAAGGAACATTGTTGCTGCTTTACAATACTTCAATAACCTACCACAGGCTGAAATGTTTCATGCAGCAAATGCCTGGGAATCAGAGGCTCCAGTCTCAGAAATAGTATAGGAACCTAACTCTAATTTGGCTTTCCTGAGGATTACATTGCTGACAGTCTGTATAAACAAAAAAACAAGTCAATTTAATGCTTTCTTACAGGAGAATGTTCCCGCCATTTAAAGTTAGATGCACCGGTCTGGATAAGAAGGTCAAATATATTTTGTTAATGGATATTGTGGCGGCAGATGACTGTAGGTACAAATTCCACAACTCACGTTGGATGGTAGCCGGAAAAGCTGACCCTGAAATGCCAAAGCGAATGTACATTCATCCTGATAGCCCTGCTACTGGGGAGCAATGGATGTCTAAAGTCGTCACTTTTCACAAGCTGAAACTGACAAACAATATTTCCGACAAACACGGATTTGTAAGTTTCATATTTTTACCTCTGAATTAATGTACAATTCTTTGAATGATTTAAAAACAATAATAGCAAGCACGGCGATATATGTTTACTTTAGCCGCGGTCGGCTAAAATAATATTTTCTCTATCAGGAGTTAAAAAATATAGCACCAAATCCTGTTGCCATGAGGATTTTTCCGCTTTGTTTTGTATTTTCTGTGGATCATGACTTGTGTTCTGCTAACCTGAGGTATTGTGTAGATCGGCCATTTTAAGTATCTGGGATTGCAAGTATTTGATCGTTTGGATCATATTTTTACAATTTTCTACGGCACTGAAAATGATAAAGGCTTAATCGCATGTCAACTTTCTCTCTCAATTTTCAGTTTGTAAATTTCGCAGTAATGTCCAATGGCTTGTAGTGGAAAATATTTGCAAACTAACACACTTTGGCAAATCTGCAATGTATTAAGCATCATGCTCGCTGGAGAGAAAAAAATCCAGCCACTGTAATAACAATGACCATTGCAGTTGCTTCGTTAGTTAAAGCATTTTAATATGGCATTCAAAAGCAGTATATTAAATAAATGGAAATTATTTATACTTATTTACTAGTCACTTGCTACTTGTGACAGCATTTTCAGTTAAAACCAGGCATGTCAGTATTTGAATTATCTTGCCGGTTTGATTAATACATATACTTCTGGGGAAGAATTACAGACACATTTCTATATATAATATATATAGATAGATAGATAGGCATTACATATTTCCAAATCAGGTGGTATTAACTTTCTAAGTCTTCAAACAGTAGGCGAGGCCATAGTGCAAATCTTATCACACTGTCAGCTGTTCACACTCCTTCTGAACTCTGTCCTTTCATGGGGGATCTTCTCGACTGGATATTAGTTTATATTATTGCTGGTCAATTATTAATATGTAGCGTGCGATTAAAAAGTAAAATTATACAATACTGACATTAGCAGGAACCTGGCTAAGTTAGGAAGAGTCATATCATCTGCGCAACTGCACTCGCGTTGTTGAGTTGTAATTCCTTGATTTATTCTTTTTAGACTATTTTAAACTCCATGCACAAGTATCAGCCCAGATTTCACATTGTTCGTGCGAACGACATTTTGAAACTTCCTTACAGTACTTTCAGAACATATGTGTTCCCTGAGACAGAATTCATTGCGGTCACCGCATATCAAAATGATAAGGTGAGTAAGAAAAAAGTA